CGTTTGCTGACAACCTTGTAAGCTGCACTTTTCAGCATACCGTGATCGGCTCAAGCGCGTCAGTTTGTTTATACTGATGTAAATGCACTGAGACAGTCGACCTTTCTCTCTTCCTACCCCCAGACACCCGTCTCATGCCCGAGCCGGTCATTTGTCAGATGCGAAGATTGGGTGCAGTGGCTGACAGAGCTAGGGTGTTTGTCTGCGCGTGCCATATGCATGCCCGTCCTCCACCTAACTTAACAGGATTAGAAGCAGTCAAGTTTGGCAAACCGACATTTTGGATTATCTGCCATCAGGCCTCTATAGTAATATAAGTGTGGGTAGATTAACAAAATTTAAAACATTCAGTAAACAGTAGGTATGGGGGGAGACGGTTTAGGGCGGTCAGACTTGCCGGGGTTATCATAGCCTATTCCTGTCAGAGACTTGGAGATTGGGATGGGTAGAAGACACCTGACAAATTTGTGTCTCCGTTTCGTGGCAGTATACGACAATAACCGTGATGAGTTAATTCTTGGACTAATCGAGCCTTAGCGTTTGCACAAGGCTGGTTTGGCTAACTGTATGGCCACTACCTCTGCCGTCGCATGTGTCCGCTGATGCAAGATCTTGGAGTGTCTCATCGGCACCTTCTAGATGACTTGGAATGCTTGATTGATGTCTACTGGGTGGTTGATGTCAACCACATGAGCCACAGTTGCGCTATAGATTGACTTTTCCCCGCGTTGATTTAGCCAGAAAGGATGATGCTCTCGCGTTCAATTGGATACGCGCCTAGTCCTTCGACCAAATTAACGTGCCTCACATAGGTCTGAAAGGAGGGAGTGAGTGAGACAGACACTGGGGAATCCTTACAACAAGCCAGCGCGTTCTTCATAATAGTAAATATGACTCGGTGCTATCTATCACGACGCGCATAGAGTCGTGGTTTAGCAGGTTTTCAACTGATGGACTAATTAAACCCTTCTCAGAACTCAGGGGGTAGGTTGCAATGACTCCTTTTCATTGTGGTCTTTATGGCACTTTCATGGATGTGGGATGCGCGCTGCCTTTAGCGAAGGCTATTTCACTTTATTTCTTACTCTGCCAACGCTCGCCTCTGATGATACCAACTCTCTCCGACCGCCGCGCATTTAGGTTACATAGGGCTGAGCACTATGGGACTGTTTCTGCATCAAACCCGCCCGCCAAGGTGCCACTGTAATTCCCTCTGCCTTCTCTCTGTTTTCTCTCTATATCCCTTCAGGATTTCAAGGAGGCACGAGAACAGGATGCCCAGGAGTTTCTTATCTTCCTCCTGGATCGCCTCCATGAAGAGAACATACTGCGTTCCACAGAATCTGAAGTGCACCGCGTATCTGCGGGAAAGCGGGGAACCAGCCGTGTCTGCCATGAGGAGAACATGCTGCACCCCGCAGAATCTGAAGTGCACCGCATATTTGCGGGAAAGTTGAGAACCAGC